TAACAATATTCAGAAGTAAGTTTAGCAAGAGCCAAAACCTAAAGACATGCTCAATTTATAAGGGCTTCTGCATGCTTGCCTTTTCTTTCTTTATCAGCAGAATACTATGCCAAATCCCATATGGCTTTGAAATACCTTTCTGATTGCTTTTAAATGAACATTAAAATCTAGAAACTTCTCTTCCCAATCTAAACTTGCTAAACTTTAATAATCCTTTCTCCAATATCTTCATCTGAGCTCTTAGGAATTGCTTTAAATCTGAAGTCTCAGGCCTCAGGAATTGCTTTAAATATCAACTTCCAATCTCTTCTTCTCTCTTAATTCCAACAGGGCCAAGTTTTTAATTCTCTTTCTAAGTCTCCATCCATAATTTCTGTCTTGCTCTTCAAAATTTCCACTTTCTCATTAATTTTTTTTTTTACTTTCCCAGTCATTTGTTTTAGAGAACTTTACAGTTTCCTAACTTCTTTTAGGGGATGGGGCCAGTCAGAATTTTTACTACCGGTTCTCCGAACTACTCAAAATTTCCGCTACCGGTTCTCCAAAACTGGTCAGAATCTGCTGAAACCCACCTCTGCCTTGGACTGTTTCTCCCCTCCCCCATATCTTGGTTTGACCCAGATATTTCATTTAAGAGCTTCCAATAATACAACTTAATGAATGAATAATTGGATCGAAGCCATAAGAACAAACAAACTGATGTAGTAGATATTTGTCATTGCAATGCAAAGGAATAAATAATCATAATTTCCTGAAACATTGAGACAATGGAGAAGTGACTGAATATGTTGGGAGTAGCACTGTAAGGATTTATGTGGCTAAATTCTATGGAGTTCTGAGGTTTAGAACTACCATATATAGAATTGAAAATAGTACCAATTCTAAGAAAACTTATAGGATCTTGACTTCTTCATCTCTATTACTCCAACAGTTCATACAGCTAGATGTAAAAAAAACATGCAGTCAAGTGAAACTTAACTGTAATAGCTAATTTTTCCTATGCATTCATGCCTCATCTCCTCCAACCCATTCTCCCCACAATAAAAAGGAGAATTTGAAACAGACTTTTATTGTACTTCCATTCATTTCTAAGTCACCCATATATCTGGGAATTTAAAATGCAATTTTACTCCTTTTCAAGTAAACGCAGTCCTGACAACAGTATCTGAATGCATGCTTTCAATTTTATAAACTAGACAGATTAAAAGCAACAAGTTAACATGTGGCATCATCTCAGAGGGAAGCCTGCAATTTCTTAAATAAAAAATCTGTCTCATTTGCCAAACTGAAAATGCATCTACACAATGATAGAACGTAGGATACACTGGCTAATCTTATCAAACTATAGGACTAAATTACTGGTTATGTACAGTAAGGGGAGGATTACTTATTTTTAAATAAAATAAGATTTTATTTTAAATGTGTATTTACAGTACTGATTTTATTTATGACTATTCCTCTGATTATCAAATTCTTTTCACAACACACTGATTATACACAGGCATTGGCTCAGGTAGTGCAACCTTGTTGAAAATTAATGTTGGGGGGAAAAAATTCTGGAACATTAAAGCAAGTAAAATGAACACTCAACAGCCTATTTAAAATGGTCTATTTTTACATCCCTCGATTTAGCAGAGAGTATTCAAAAAACTGGACAAGATATTGAAAAAGCTTAGTCTTAAGCATTCCTGAGAAGTGAATGCATAGAAGCTGTAGGAGAACTTTCCCAAATGCCTTAAAAAAAGGGGTCTAGATGGGGAATCACATACAAGGAGGTGGTTTCTTAAAAAGTTCTGGATACAAGGCTTCAAATTCAGCACTTTGTGTTTCGTGCAGAAATATTTCACATAATGCTTTTAGCACAATAATATGGTCTCACTGAGATCTTCCAGAGGACCAATCTGGCCATTGAATTGGGTATCAACTGAATCCCCATAGAAAAATAAGTCGAATACAAATTATATGAGAACAGAAGCTTGGAGATTGCCAGCACTTTCACCATCAGTCACTTTTTTCCTGAAAGGACATTCAGCTCAGGTGAACTGATATATGAAACAAAGTTCATATACAATAAGGCATTCTTTGTTTTTTGTCATACCTGGGAAACTGAGAAAGATTCAAATCCAGAAATACCCCCTAAGCTGTTCCCTCTGGGAAGATATGCATCCCTTTAAACTAGGAAATCTATCACGTGTCTGGAACTGTGATAACTCACTATAAGCATTCACGGTTTTCATTTAGTTTCATGTTTTTGATCCCCCATCATCACTACCAGCTGCACGCAGAAATTCAGGAAAAAATGCACCATTACATGCAGGGGTGGGTTCTAAATTTTTTTAATACCGGTTCTGTGGGTGTGGCTTATTTTGTGGGCATGGCTTGATGGTCATGTGACAATTATTTAGGATTTAGCAGAGGTACTGATCTACCAGGCTTTTAACTGCTTGCAGAGTGTGCCGATCTACCCATTTATTTTTTGCAGGCACTGGTCTATTTATATATTTTTGCAGACACTGGTCTACTCATTTGTTTTCTTTTAACACTGATCAGCTGTAGGGCGGCCCTTGAAGCCCCGCAGCAAGAGTTTAAACAGTGTTTTTCCCTCTAGCCATCAGCTGGGACTCAGGAGGCAGCAATAGATTGGGGGTGGGGCCAAATAAAAGGTAAGAATAACATGGGGGTGGGGGGGCACGGGGGGTGGAGGGCAGAACCAGTTCGGTGACGTCATATCGTCACCGCTACTGGCTCAGGAGAACCGAGCCAAACCGGGAGGAACCCACCACTGATTACATGAAGATGTTCCTGAGAACTATATTGGGATATCATCAGCATATTGATAATGCCCAACTTCAAATATCCTGATAAACTTGTGATATGTGATTTGATACAAGGGTAAGAAAGTGTTGGGGGCAGAACACAAGACCATCTGAAATTTATCTGAGAGGAACTGAACCACAGCCAAATAGTACCTTACGAATGAAGGCAGATATATATATCCTGGGACAGTGTTCCAAGATACAATCTGGTTGATCATCTCTGGTTCCTGTGACTGATCCAGATTGGATCTTGCAAACAGCTCCTTCTATTTCCAGATATCAAAGCCAGAAGGATATTTTATTAATGGTTCTGAAAGCTATTAAGATGTCAAAAAGAACCAACAGAGTCACAATCAGTCCTTCTGCAGACCATCTACAGGCTGACCAAGACTGCCTTAATCCTACAGCATGCTCTGAACTCTGTTTAAAAAATACAGAGAGGATCTATAAACTCTCAAAGGTGCTTTTTCAAGAGGCAACCAAACTTTCTGGTTTTTCTTTGAAGACGTTTCACTTCTTCTCACCCAAGAAGCTTCTTGGATAAGAAGCAAAAAGCACCTTTGGCACAGCCATAATCATAATCATAAGTTTATTTGTTAAGCATATATAAGATAACAGGTAAAAGTATAAACATAATTTGAATACATGAAAAGAGTATGTAAAAAGGAATATTAAGACAGGGACGGTAGGCCCACTGGTGCACTTATGCACGCTCCATGACTTGAATGACTGAGAATCTCCATAGGCATTTAATTCTATAAACTCCAAGATTGCATGCAAGCTGAGAAGTTGCCTGTTCTTTTGATTGCCTTAATTAATCTTAATCACATAAAGTTAAAGACTGTCCTGTAATAAGCTATCTCCACAATAAGATGAGGGTACCTAACGTTTTTTCCCCTGCAGTTGTGGATTGCCACATTGATTTATAGCAGGAGTGAAATCCAATTTTTTTCCCTACCGGTTCTGTGGGTGTGGCTTGGTGGGTGTGGTAGGGGAAGGATACTGTAAAATCTCCATTCCCACCCCACTCCAGGGGAAGGATACCTCAAAATTTCCATTCCCTCCCCTCCTGGGGGAAGAATATTGCAAAATCTCCATTCCCACCCCACTTTGCGGCCAGCCAGAGGTGGTATTTGCCGGTTCTCCGAACTACTCAACATTTCCACTACTGGTTCTCCAGAACCTGTCAGAACCTGCTGGATTTCACCCCTGCCTTATAGCCATTTCAACAGAGCTAGAACAGGATGAAGCAAAGCAACAAGGCTGTTTTGTTTTTGGAAGCAAGGAGACCACAGGGGATTAAGCTTCGCTCGACATTTTATGGAATCTCCTCAAAAATCTGCAGAGCCCTATTGCTGAACTTTTACTGATTTTTTAATGAGCTGTAGGATCTGACTTGGTTTACTTTAGTAATAAGTTCAATCAATGCAAAAGAATAAAATTCTATGGCTAGTTCCTTAATTTCTATGGAACATAGGTGTGGTTAATTCCTCCTGGATTCACTGACAGTGGATAATTTGTCTGTTCATTTTTTATGTGACAAACACAAATACTATTTCAACCACATACACACATTGCTCCCTTCTGAATTTTCCATAATAATTGCTGTCATGTAACTACAGCTGGGATGTATAACCTTTTTTTCCCCCCAGTTCTGCCATGATGCAAAATATCTGAAGCCTAACCACTGTTGAGGACAGGACTTTAATGGTCATATTTGCATTATGTCAGGATGCGTTTAAATTAAATATTCACTTGTGTAAGCAAACTGGTGTATGTTCTGCTACATGGTAGTCAGTGAAATGTGAATTGGCAAATCTTAGAATTAATTGTGGGTTTAAAAGTTTTCAGGCAACTTCAGACAACTGCTTTATATAAACAGAAGGAAATGACAGAGCAAATACTTTTAAACCCATGAAATTCGAAGAACGTTTATTACCATTGTTTTGTTTTTAAGCATAGCAATGAGTATATATGAAACATACAGTAATACATCTTCACATAAAAGATTAATTCACAGTCAGTTCAATACAGGTGAATGTATTGAATGAATGACTATTCTCTGCATTTATTGCCAGAAGCAAATAGTACAAGAAATCTACACTTTTGTTTTCCTTTATACTACTTCTGCAAGTCTCTTATCTATTTCTGCTTCATTAAATTGGCAATCGCTTATAATCTTACCTGACAATCTTTTATAAATGTACCTGAGCCTTCTTTCTGGACAGGTGTGTGTAGCATTGTGTTGATGAGGTTTTCAGAGTCAGTGAAGAATACATCATTTCCCCAGAAAACCTGATTCTTAGAGTCCTCCTAATGTTCCATTTATTGCAACATGATGACAACTCACTGTCCTTGTGACATGGTCTCATTGACTGTGAACTGCAGAAACATTCTGAGGTTATTTTTAGCTGTTCTGCTGCTACGGTTATTCATTCTTTCCTTCTTGTGATACAAATCCTACCAAATAAACAAACTATAAGGTATTGTGGCGCTGCTGGTGATGTTGACCCATTGATTACTTTGGTTGCAGTCATACTTCCTCACTCTACAGTCATTGGGCTCTATCCTATTTAGTCATTCTGGCTTCAGACATCAATAGCAAAGGCACTTAGACTTATATACCGCTTTACAGTGCTTTACAGCCCTCTCTAAGTAGCTTGCAGTACTGGACTCTAACCACTGCACCACCGCGGCTCATATGGAAGAGAAACTAGACTCCCGGCACATACAAGGGCATCTGCCTCACAAATTCTCCAGAAGACACTAGTTAGCCATTGTATGGGCTCCTTGTGCACATTTATTTCTTTAGAACATTTATATAGTCACCCATCTTTAATCCAACTCTGGGCAGTTCCCAGCCCTCAATTAAAACATCAATAACGTAACAACATAGTACACATATCTATTAAAACCATGGCATCAAAAACTGGCCCTAAGTTACTCTTTCACATGCAGTTCATCGTTAAATCCCCTCGTTCACCTCACCCTATCTGAGCACTTGGAGGAAAAGTCAAGTCACCAACATTTTCTAGAAGGCTGGGAGAACAGGGGCCTTCTGAACATGAAACTATGGAAGACCAGCAGATTTGTTCTTAAAGAGTGGTCTTTCAGAGATTGCTAGGAGGCTGTGTATAAGATAAATAGGTTATGTTTATCTTCCAAATAAGTGTTGTTATGGGTTTGTTACATAATAGAGAAGAAGATATAGGTTTTATTTCTAGTAATTGCTTTACAGAGGCACGGGAGTGGGAAATCTTACGTTTTACTAAAATGATACCTTAATCCTAACTCTTATACCACTTTAACTTACACTTCTGAAAGTTTCCTAATAAATCTCTGAAGTCATTTATAGTCTCTTCAGTGTTTTCTCTTAACTTGATCAAATGAGTTAAAATAATACACAGTTCTGCTTCTATTCCTGCCTCTGCTTCTCTCAGTCTTGTAGAGATTCCTCCCCCCTCCTTCATTTTCATGGCCTTTTTGTACAGTATTTTCTTAGCCTACCAGCTCAGACTTTAGTTCTGACTCTATTTATTTATTTAACACACATTTCTACCCTGCCACAAGCAAAACAACTTTCAGCAGATGGATAAATCACATGGAAGTAAACTTTTATTTCAGTGCTTGTAGACCAGATGGTTTCTTATTCACTTTGCAAGTCCCTCCCAACCAGAGGTGGGTTTCAGCAGGTTCTGACCAGTTCTGGAGAACCGGTAGCGGAAATTTTGAGTAGTTCGGAGAACTGGTCGTAAAAATTCTGACTAGCCCTGCCCTCATCTATTCTCTGCCTCCCAAGTCCCAGCTGATCAGGAGGAAATGGGGATTTTGCAGTAACCTTCCCCTGGATTGGGGTGGGAATGGAGATTTTACAGTATCCTTCCCCTGTCACACCCACCAAGCCATGCCATGCCCACCAAGCCAAACCCGCAGAACCAGTAGTAAAATTTTTTGAAACCCACCACTGATCTGATCCTTTTGATTTTTCTTTTGGTGGCTACCATTCATTCAGCAAGCCGGGGATTGAACAACATCAGCTGCAGTCCAAGATCACATTTCTACCAAGATTTCCCCACATCTTAATGTCCTATTACTTGGTGTTGGGTGATTCTGTTGATCGAAACCTGTCCCTGGTTGCTGCTGAAGGAAATACAATGGACATGCTTGCATGAATTGGGAGACAGACTAGACAGGAATTTTTCTAATGGCCAAAGTCTAATTTGGAAAGATGGCCAACCAGTTTCTAAATGGCATCATTTTAATTTGCACAATTAATGCCATGCCACGCCCACCAAGCCACTCCCACAGAACCGGTAGCAAAAAATGTTGAAACCCACCACTGCTCCCAAAATAACTCTGCCCTTCTTTTGTTGATCCTGTGATGAGTCAATACTCCTCCTAGCTATCCCTATATGTATCTTCTGACATCTGTAGACAAATCAACATGCTCCAAACTCAATGATAGAAACATCTTGTCCAAGACAAGACACCAGCACCAGAAACTCAGCAATGCAGGCAGCCATCAGCAGTTTTGCCCTCCACCAGCCTCTCTATTTTGGTCACAGTTCAATGAATGAATTTGTACTTGAATACTTCCAAGTATTACCTTTACTAGTCATTCAGTACTCATTTTCATACTTTTCTCCCCCTTTTAATGTGGTTAAAGCCAGTGGTGGGTTTCACTTATTTTTGCTATCGGTTCACATGCGCAGAGCATATTTGATGACGTCCGGGTGGGTAGGCGGAGCCTCTCACTGCCGCTGCTACCAATTCGCCTGAACTGGGGGGAACCAGTAGCAACCCACCATTGGATAAAGTGCATTGCTTTTTAAAAATGCTATGCAACTTTGGAGACTACACTATTTTTGTGCCTTGTCTTGGGGCTAAAGGAAGAGTTACCAATTATTACAATAGATGGAGCTGAAATTGTGACCTCTGTTTATCCCTTCTTGGGAAGCTTAAATGTTTCATTTTGCTCCTTAATTCCTCTAATGGGAAAAATCAACCTTTTAAAAGTTTTTGGCAGGATGATATTTTGACCGGGGGAAATGGATTCCTTTAATCTCTGAAAAGCTGGAGCTACCCTTTTTCCCCCTTTGAAAGCTTTTTCCACCCTCCAAAATGTAGAAAGCCCCAAATTGCTTGTGGGAGAGATCTAAGCGCTGCAGATGGAAAGATTAAGCCACATATGGCCTGCAGACTATGGGCTTTCCACCTGTAGACATAGTCAGCGATAACTTGAGAGTAAGCCCTGAGTTTGAGGGATGGTTTCCCTACACTTATTTTCCAAGTGGAATCTCTTCCTATAAAATCCATTCCCCTCATGTCTGTTCCCAAACCCTTCCACCAGGTACTCTAAGAAGTATCCCCTCCATCCTGAGGCATCTTGTAAGAAAAAGAATATCCCTTCTCTAATTGTGACCTTTTTACTTATGTTATTAGACACGGTGTGCAGGTGTGTGAAGTATACAAATTGGTACAATAGGGACTTTATAAATTATACTAAACAGTCCAGACAGTCATAAGGAAGCTGTTTCCAAATTTTACAGATAAGGAAGCATAAATCAGGAAGATTTCACGCTGAAGGAAAAATGTGCAACCGAAAACACCACCATAAGGAGCATGCTCTCCCAAAGATAAAATATCAAGGACAGTCTGAAAGAAATTCCCCAGTATTCTGAAAAATTGAGAAATAGTAACCTAAATTCTGGGACAACATTAATCTGATGCCTGCAATCCTCTATTTTTTTTTTAAAGAATAAAAGACATTGGAAATAAATTCCAATGTTGAGTTATAATCTTGTATCTCATATTATTGTCACTGAGGCAGAAAGTTCTTTTGTTTTTTTAAGGAAACACTAAACAATTGGACTTAGATATTTAAAAAGTGTCCTCTGGAATTCCTATTGTTTTTGAGTTTTCTGTAAGTCAAAGTGCTCTTTCTCCCATCCTTGAGCAGGGAGGAAAGTGTACCAACATAAGTTTTACTGTCCTCACAGCCTCCCTTTACTTCACTTCATCTACAAGACCAGGCAGACCTGCTTCTCTCATATTATGAATATAGGATAATCTTAGGGTAATAACTGCTGGATTCCTTACCATCATTTCCCCTACCACCCAGGGTCACCTACCACCAGCCACTCTGTTGAAGGTGCGTTGGGAGAGTTGGGAGACTCCAGGCACTCCTTCATCCGCCATCTGTCTTATGCTCCACTAAGCAGTGAGTTGGAGTAGCATCAGGGGTGAAATGCTCCAGGATCGGACTGTATCGCCTGATCTGGTAGTGATCTTGGCCAGTGGTTTGGCGATCCAATAGCGATGGCAGAGAGTAGCTCTGCCCACCTGGCCAGGTGTCATTATTTCCTGGTTGTAACCAGGAAGTAATGTGTGCGCAGAAGGTTTTGCGCATGCGCAAAAGGACTGCGTGCGGTGCATGCACTTCCGAACTGGTAAGGAAGGTAAGTAGATTTCATCCCTGAGTAGCGTCAATATTTGTCTACTTATTGTCATAGAAATATTGATCTCACAATCTCTTGGAAGACACAGACAATCAAGAGGTTGATATTCCCATAAAATAGCCTATATTTTTCAAAGCACTGATGACTTCAAGCAAGTGGCTGAGTTGAAAACTCCTTCTGCTCCCTGCTTGGATTCTGACCTGCCTGTCTCAGTAGTCACTGGCTGACTTGCCTAGTGTCACCTCTTCAATCATTACCTTTTATTTTGCTCTTTGCAGGTTTTGTCCAGCAGGAGTCCCAGTTTGAGTGGGACCACCTCCTGGATGTCCTGAAGGTGCTTTTCAAAAGACAACTGGACTTTCTTGGTTTGTTTCCTTGAAAACATTTTGCTTCTCATCCAAGAAGCTTCTTCGGTTCTGAACTGAAGAAGCTTCTTGGGTGAGAAGTGAAACATTTTCCAGGGGGGGAAAAAACCACCAAGGAAGTCCAATTGCTTTTTGAAAAGGGCTCTTGGGATAACCATGACCTGAATGATGTTCAATCCTAGCCAGGAGAGCTGGCAGCTACCTGTGCCTTTTACACCTCCCTTCATCCCAAGTCTACTCAGAAGCCAGACCCATGAAGTTCTGTGGGACTTCCGCCTGGTGTTTGGGGTTGTAGCATCCATCACCAGCTGAATGCTTTCACAATTTAGCATACTCAAAAGCTCTTGTGCTATTTTTGTTTTTTAAAAAAGCTTTTCACTTTCTTGAATCTCAAAGAGAGGCACCGCCTTGGGAAGGGATCCTTGCTTGATTTCAACCGCAAAAACAACGTAAGT